CGTTTGTTTATTATTAAATATAATTAATAGTTTGTAATTAAAGCTAAAGATGCTAATATAAAAAATCTAGTGAAAAAATGCTAGATTTAATAAAAAAATTAGGATTGAGAGAGCTTGTATTAATTGATGTTCATATATTAAATTAATTCAACTCTCATACAAGATGTCGTTATTGAATATATATATATATATATATATATATATATATATATATATATATATATATATATATATATATATATATATATATATATATATATATATATATATATATATATATATATAATTATATTTAGATGAATAAAAACAACTGATTAGCGGGACTTAAAGTTTCATGCCCGAAGGCAATCATCAGCCGTTAATACCATAGCCGTTATACACATATAGCCGTTATACACATATAGCCATTATAGCCGTTACCACAGCCATTAATACGTTAATAGTATTAACGGCTGATGATTGCCTTCGGGCATGAAACTTTAAGTCCCGCTAATCAGTTGTTTTTATTCATCTAAATATAATTATATATAGCTCTATTCAGTAATATTGAGCACTGTAACACATACAAGAGACTTCGTATTATTACATCAAAATACTTAACCTCGAATATATTCTATATATCGAAATCTATACAAATATATATATATATATATATATACACATCATATTTATTTATACCTGAATATCTCCTAATGTGATTTCTGAAAAAAACACATCCACAGCTTTTTCATAAATATTGCTCAGTTCATTACTGTTAAAATCATAATCTTTAAACTCACTTAGAAACGATGACAAAGGTCTATTGCTGGTTCTATTGCTTAAGGTAATAGGTGATGATAACTCATATATTTCAGGAATTGGAAGTTGTGAAAATATTGGTAAACAGAAACCACCATCATCCTTTTAATAAAAAACAAAAAATTAATGAAACAAAACAAAATTAATTATACCTTAAAAATATTTAAAAAAAATTATGTTCGTTAACTAGATACTCTGATTTTCTTCTAAACAGTCAAAAATATTTAAAGCATCCAAATTAGTTGTGTTTTTTTTTTTTAATATATATGATGTTATATTAGGAACAAAACATTATTTTGACCAATATTTCATCAACTAATAAAGAAATAATAATTTAATTTATCTAAATACTGTAGACAAAATAAATATATATTTTTTTAAAACTTTGCTCATATTAAGTGTTTTTTTAACAAAACAATTGTTGACATATAAAAGGACCATTAAGAAAAGATACTTTTGAGCAGGACATTCAGTCGTTTTTTTATTGTTTATCTATGTATTTTGAGAGCAATCAAATATCAAGTGATACCCTACAATCCTTACTACAACTTGGACAAGAAGTGGTATTAATTGAATTCAATGCTGAAAAAAAAAGTTGTACAAAGAGGTGCAAAAGGTGTCTAACAGATGGAAAACCACATGATAAATGAAAGGGGATTAATGGTGACATAACCTTTTGGTGCAAACCTATAAAAACATTGTTAAAAATATTGCCATGATTGCAAATCATCTAAAAATCATTTTAGTATCACTTATGTATGTTAATTTTATTTTACTTTTAGTTTGTTACTAATGCTTAAGCCAGTAAATTGGTTTTACCAAACTTGTTTCAGTAAATTTTTTGTGATATTAGTAATGCTTGTGTCAATAAACTTATTTATGAATTTAATTTGTGATTTATTTATATTAAATATTTTTTAAATACCAAAGCAAAATTTTATTTTTCACACACAAAAAATTAATAGCAGACAAAAAAAAAACTTATTTTGATTACAACAAAATGCTAAATAAAGAGCTTGAAAGTTTCTTAGTTGAGTTAATTAGTATCACAATGGAAAACTACTTGTCTCATAAGAGCTTAGAAATTTTTGAATTGTGCAAAATTGTGGAATACTTATTGTCTCATTGACGCCTTGAACAACTCATTTTTTACAAATTTTTGACAATGCATTATTTGGACGTACCAATCAGGCATGAACAAAAGAAACTCACAGATAGAAATGACTGAAAAACAAATCAGTCAATTAATCCACATTTCAAGAAAGAACATACAGATGGTATTTTAGAAGTGGAATGCTTGACTCAAGAAGATCAGAATGAAACATCTTGATATTGCTGAATTATTGTTGATTTAACAACTTCAAGAAAATTCAGAAATTAACATGTGAACTTCTAAATGTTGGTCTTGATTGGTCAATTAAAATTCATGAAAAATATAGAAAACTCTCTAGTTTCTGTATCAAATTTAAAGCAAATTTTATAAAATTAACAGAATCTGTGAAAATACTAAGTACTATATTACTGTGTATATTAGTGTGTAGACGCTGTAGAACAATGTTGTAGTAGATTTTGAACTTTTCAAGTTAAGTCTTTTATGAAAATTTGTTATTATGATTGATCACTAAATTAACAAAACTACTTTTTTTTTAAATTAACAAAAAATAATAAATTTTATTTAATATTTTATGATTTCCAATTTCCAATTTTTAGAATTCCAAAATATTCCCATCAATCTTTTAAAGTACTTCTTACAGGATCCAACTCCATTTAACTACTCCAGGTCCTTCTATTCCAATTAAAACAGGTTAACCCATTGATAGACATTCAAATTACTCAATACATAGACTTCAAATTAGCATCGATTGCTCAAGTCATACTTCAATTAAACTTGGACTGGATATATTTCCTAAGCTTGAGCCTCTCTCCCATCGTTGTAAAGCAGCAATCTCTTTATCTTTTGTACAAATCTTTTATACAAATCGTAGTCACTGCTCAAAGGAGCTATAACCTTTAGTTCCATCAACTAAAACTCATTCTCACTTGACTTGCCATTCAGCAAAGTCTCATTCTTTTACTTTATCTGTCCCTGCATGTTCTAAAAACCTTTATTTGTCTAGTTTTTTTCCCTCAACTTCAACTGTTTAGAACTCTCTTCCATCTTAATGTTTACCTGACTTATACAACCTAAAAAGTCTTCTATCAACTGTTTCCTTGCTCTTTGACTCTATTTTTTTTTCCTCTAGTAACTCCCAACTTTTAGTTATAAACACAAGTGTTTTATTTTCTAGCTTGTATATTGTATTTTTAGTTATATACACAATTGTTTTATTTTCCAGCTTATATATTGTATTTTTAGCTATATACACAAGTGTTTTATTTCAAGGAACTCATCAAAAAAAAAAAAATCATAATGTGTTTTCCACATTATGATAATCTTTTTTACAACAACAATGCCCACAGAGAATCTCACACATCACGCCCTTTGCATGCCCTGGGTGGAACAACTCTAACAGTAATAATTTTATATTGAATTTTTAAAGTTTATTGTAACATTTGTTACATATTAAAAAATTTTGCACTTTTTTGTTCTTTTAATACTTTAAATTTTTATAAGCTTTGTTTTCTATAATTTAATCTTCTTTTTAGATTTAATGTTTTACTAATTTTAACTTTTATTTCAATTATGCAGAGATAGAAAGATAAACACTACAAACACAGTAATGATAAGTTTCAGATAACTTATCTAATAAGGAGGACTACCACTAAATATGATGGGGATGGAAGATAGTTTGATAAATGGGATTAGATTTTATCTACATCCTTAAATTACAAAGTTAGGATAATCCAACAATCAATACTACAAAGTTAGGATAATCCAACAATCAATACTACAAAGTTAGGATAATCCAACAATCAATACTACAAAGTTAGGATAATCCAACAATCAATACTACAGCTCTAAAAATAGAAAAAGAGCAACATTTGTTAATGCAAACTTTTGTATTTTTTATTAGTCTGTTTTAACTATTACCTATAATTTGAATTGTTTCTAAAAAGATGTATTTCTAAGTACTGTTTTTCTAGTCTTAAATTTATTAAGTTGAATTTATTATTAAATGTCTCAAACTCTCTCTTTTTAAACTCTCTTGCCTCAAACTCTCTTGTTGAATTTCTGAAGCAAAACTATAATCTCAAACTTTCAATTTTATTATACAAAATATATCCTAGACTATGGTTAAAATCAATTTTATTATACAAAATATATCCTAGACTATGATTAAAATCAATTTTATTATACAAAATATATCCTAGACTATGGTTAAAATCAATTTTTAAACAATATCAAACACGACATCGTACTTTTAGAATACTGATGTAACAAATAGTTTTTCAAGTAACACAATAATGAAATATTAACAATAAGCATCATACAAATAAGATGTGATCCAGGAAATTTTGATGGTGTGTGTGTGTGGGGGGGGGGGGGGGGGTATTGAAATATCTTTGTATTTGAACTATATTTGTGTCTCTTAAAAAAAGAAAAAAAAAAAAGGTCCTCATTGTCTATGATATTTTTAGAACTTTCAAATTCTGGTGGGGGTGGAGGGCATACCCCCATCTCTCTCACACCTAGATCCGTCACTGTCTGCAACAGTGGTTTAAAGACATTTTTCAGTTAGATCACACGAAAATATAAGTACAAAAGATAGACTAGTATGAATATTCAAAGGTTCAGTAACCATTTCTGAAAATTAAATATCTGGAAGACCAAAATATTTATCCCACTGTTTAGAAAAAAATTAATAATAAATTTTTTCACCTTTTCTATTGTATCTGGTGGTATAAGTCTTTCTGATTCACCACCTAACAATAATAAGCGTACTAATACTTCATTTCTTTTTAATAAGCATTGATCAATGATATACTCATCATCATACTTGCATTGCTCTTGTAAGTACAGCAGTTTTTTGCATAAATCAAATTTTATTTCAATATGTATCATTGAATCTAAACATGTAATGATTGCAGCTATGATATTTAGAATAAAAAAATGAGTCTGTTCAAAATGCAAAAGCAATGACTGGTTTTCATGGATAATTGTACAAGTAATCAAGTCTTGAAAACTTTCCATGTTTTTAAAATTTGAACTTTCATTATATTCATCTATTAGCAGATATTTTACAGCAGGAAAAGATGAAAACAGCATGACAATTGAATTATAAAATTCATTAGATGTTTTATCCGATAAATCTTCTGAGATATCTGACATTATTGTTTTGGTATAATCATTAGAGCAGCCTTCCAAATGAAACCATGTATTGCGTAATAATGATGTAAAAAAACCTAAAAATTTATACATACATACATAAATACATATATATATATATATTTATATATATATATATATATATATATATATATATATATATATATATATATATATATATATATTTATTTATATAATGATATATAAATAGGTATATATAATGATATATAATTATATACACACACATATATGTACATAAATATTTACAAGCATATAAATATACAAGGTTGGTGTGATGGAGGGGGTATGGGTCTGTGTGTGTGGGGTGACATCCCCCATTAATCATTTTTTCGTTTATTTAGTCAGCAAATGTAGACCCTTTGAACAAGTTAGTTGGTAAATTTAGACAGTCAGCAAATGTCGACTATGCAGTTGGCTAATTTTAAAATACAAAACTCTTTATTTTGTTTTTAAAATTAGCCAAAAGTTGTAATGCCCCCCCCCCCCCCAAGTGATACCTACTCACGCCGGCCCTGTATATATATTTAATGTTATATATATATATATTATATATATATATATATATATATATATATATATATATATATATATATATATATATATATATTTATATATATATACATATATATGTACATATATAATTTATATATATATATATATATATATATATATATATATATATAAATTAGGGTGTCCCTTATTATTCAGAGTTTTTTTTTCTAATGCATAGGTCTTAGTTTTGTTCATTGCATTTAAAACACTCAAAAATAATTTTTTACCTTATTTGGAGTATGATAACCCGTGCCAACTTGCATCGAATCATGTTCATACAAGTTGCGCAGTAGTTGCGTTTACCCGCAAGTTGATAAATGAAAATCGATAATTATAATGTTTAAAATTTAAAAAAAATTGATATTAGTAAATAGATGATAATTATTTATTAACAATAATTGTAAACAAATAATTATTAATAATTTTGCGACATTGCAATAACTGTTTTAACTCTTTCGGTACCAATTTTTTTAACAAAAATCTATTGGCAGTGACCGCACAAAGAAATGCATAGTGCTTAAAACTATTTGTTTTTATAAAATATAACTAAAACGTCTAACCGTCAAGTTCATACAGTCGCAAGTCTCGTCATTCAAGAGTGTATTGTATTTTGGGAAAAAGCTAGAATTCCTACTAAAGCTATACCAAACTGTGTAAAAAAACGTGTAGATTTTCACCATGTTTGGAGAAAGTTGCAAAAAAATTCCAAAAAAAAGGAAAAATGTGTACAAGCAACACGAAGAAGACTTTTAAAACAATTTAGATAATTTCGATTTATAACATTCTGATGCTTTAGAACGGATAAAAAGAATATAAAATATTTTTACAAAAACAATGATGACATCCAGGGTGTTTAGTGGGTGTAGACAAAAAATTATCCAAAAAAGAGGAGAGGGTAAGATAGAGAAAATTAAAAGAAGAAAAAAAAAAGACATAAGCAAATGCGTTTCGGGAGTTCATCGTTATCTCTTACAATTCAAGATTTTATACAAACACAAGAACATTATGATCAACACACCAGCACCGATAAAGAATAAAATAAATAACCCATAAAGAACCCTTACCATCAACCTCTCAAATGGTAAACTTTATCACGCCTAAGTTTGATGTCAGTTGAGCATAAGGGATTCTGTCTATATACTACAGGCTGTAGTAGAAGCACTAGATCTGAGCTGTGATGTTTTTTCAATAAACGAATTGTCCATTCAACGCATTCGCACACAAAGTAGAAAAGATAGAGCGGAATATATAAAATCAGATTTTAGGAATAATATACCTGAAATGGTGACTGTTCACTGGGATGGAAAATTATTACCTGAAATGGATGTAAGAAGTTCTAAAGAAGAACGTCAGGCAATTCTAATTTCATATGGGAAAAAAGAGCAACTGGTGGCTGCACCCAAACTAGAGAACTCTTCTAGCCAAAATCAAGCTGAAGTTGTGTTAAATGCACTTTATGACTGCAACCTTGATGACAGGGTACAAATAATGTACTGTGACACAACAGCATATAGGTAGTAAGTGACCGGGTCCCCGGCCCCGACCCCGGCTAAAAACAGAGGTTTTTGCAAACCCGGCCCCAACCCCGGCTAAACAAACACAATTTGCAGGGGTTACTAGATGGGGCTGGATTTTTGTTGTTGTTGTTTTTGTTGCTTTTTTTTTTAATTTTGTCAAGTTAAAATTTTTTGTGAACGTTTAAGGAAATATAAGAAAAAGTCACAAAAATAATATATACAAATATAATATAATTCATAAATATTTACAATGACAAATAAGAAATAAGACACTTTATAATAATTTAAGTTTCTTCTTCTGATTCTGATGATTCTGTGTCCCAGACATCATAGTATTTTGAATTAGGTGGTGTAAAGTCTTCAGGGGCATCACATAAATATGTTGAATAAGAAAGAGCCCTTAAATTGTATTTTAAAAAAAGAAGTGTTTCAACATTCTGTGTTGTAAGTCTGATGCGATCTTTTTGTATTAACTTTGAAACCTTGAACTTCCTCTCACTTATTGTTGAACTCCCTCTCACTTGTTGTTGATGCCAATGATTAAGATGATGATGATGATGATCATTGTCATCATCATCATCAGAATCATCTTAATCATCATCATCAACTGTATGCTTGATGATGATGATGATGATGATGATGATGATGATGATGATGATGATGATGATGTAGATGATGATGATAATGATGGTGATGATGATGACGATGACAATGAGATGATATATATACCTTTATATAAAATATATCATGAATTTTAAATAACAATAATATATTTATAAGGAATATCAATATTAATGCAGCCCCGGTCGCAAACTCGGCCCGGCTATGTTTTATCAAATCCAGCCCCGGCCCTAGTCAAATATCAACCCCGGTCACTTACTACAACAGCATCTAATACAGGACCATTAAAAGGAGCTTGCGTACTTTTGGAACAAAAACTAGACAGAGAATTACTACTTTTTGCTTGCCGCCATCACATTTACGAACTGGTTTTAAAATGTGTGATTGAAAGAAAAAATCACCAAGTCACAAGTAGCCCTGATATCCCAATGTTCAAAAAGTTTCGAGACAACTGGAAAACTATTGATTCGGCTGCAATTGAAATAAACACCGATATCCTCAAACAACATTTTAGTAATACAAGTTGATAAATTGTTAACATTTTATAATCGAGAACTGCAAAAAACTATTGTACGTGACGATTATCGAGAACTTATTGAACTATCTGCTATTTTCTTAGGAGGTGATAATGAGAAGAAAATTAAAATCAGACCTCCTGGAGCAATGCATCAAGCAAGGTGGATGGCTAGAGCTATTTACTCTTTAAAGATATGTTTGTTGCAATCCCAGATCAAAATTAACGCCAGGACATACAAGCACTTGAAGACATTTATTTATTTATTGCAGTTTTATATGTGAAGCCTTGGCTTGGATGTAGTCTGATGATGAAGGCGTCAAATCAAGATTTGTGCTTTTTAAAGAGGCTTAAGGAATACGAAACTGTTGACAAATCGATCTCTAAAGCAGCCCTGAACAAGTTTGTAAACATCTTCAGAAGAAATTACAGTTTTATCATTCTTTAATGATGAAGTTAATGAACAAACCAAGGAAAACATTGTAGTGAACATGCAAAGAAAAAGTTTGCTTATTCTGGGAAGAGATACATTCCATCGACAGAAGATATGTCTGGTTATTTGTATGATAGGTAGGAATACAAAATATTTTTTTCTATACTATTTTCACTGAACTAAAAATAATACTGCCTTATTAATTGTCGCAGGAAAATTATTAAGTGATTTTGTGTCTGTCAAAAGCACAAATTTATTCTCTTGATTAAAAATTGAGAAGAACTTCCTTCAGAAACCCGTTTCAACGTGGGATGAAGATAATGCCTATATAGAGGCAAAAATAAAAATTCTTTAAGAGCTGTTAATGATGCAGCTGAACGAGCCGTAAAACTCAAGATTTTCATGGTTTGATCACTGCAAAAGAAGAACAAAAGCAATACACAAGTAACCAAATTTTTTTCATTTACCTTGGGCTCAAGTGGCAAAATACCTCGAAAAATGCCCTAAAAGTTATATCTTATTATTTTGTAAAAAAGTTTTTTTTATGTTATCATAATGGTCCAATTTTTTTTTTAGATTGTTGCATATCTTAATTTTTTCATATTTTTTGTTTAAAATGAAAATATTTTTTCATAATTTATACAAAAAAAAAAAACTTATTTTATTGTGTATTTGCAAAAAATTCTTTCTTTTTTGCAAAATCTCTTTTAAATTTAAATAACAATTATAAAAAACTAGGACACACAACAATCTATAAGAAACTTTAGACCATTATGATCACATTGAAAAAATTTTTTTTTTTAAATATTGATATTTACATTGTGGTCAAAGCTATATAATTTAGAAACATTATGGGGCATTTTTCGGGGTATTTTGTCACTTGAGCACAATGTAATTGTCAATATTTTTAGAATTTTTTTTTTTGTAGTCGTATTTTTTATATATATTTGCTTCAAATTTAGCTTCTCGTGTATTCGCTCTTTTAAAATTTTACTTTTTTGAATACCCCTAAGCTACATAACGGAAAGGGTTAAAAACAGCAATTTTCAATATCTTCAGAATTCTGTCGGCATGCATTAATGTTGTTGTATTAAGGTAAAATATTTTATTTAAGTAAGTCTAGATAGTTTGAAAAGAAATAGGGGGTATGCATTTCGATATCCCCACAAAAATCTCTTATATAAGGAACACCCTAACATATATATGTATATATATATATATATATATATATATATATATATATATATATATATATATATATATATATATATATATATATATATATATATTCCGACAAGGCTGCAAGCAACCACTAATTAGTGTTGGAAGTTACTGGAAGAGAAAAAATGAAGATTGTAGAGCAAGATAACGATTGGCAGACGACTTAAAAGATTGCAAATTATATGAATCAGGAAAGCAAGATGAAGGAAGCAAATTCCAAATAACTGATGTTCAAGGAAAAAAACTAGACAAGTAAGAGTTTTTGGAGCACTTAGGAACAGTACCAGAAAAAGGATGAGACTTAATTGAATGACAAGTAACACGAGAATGAATTTTAGTAGATGGCACAAGAGACGCTAGCTCTTTAGAGCAGTGCCCATTATTGTATTTATAGAAAAGAGAAAGTGAAGCAACATTATGACGATGTGACAGAGGTTGAAGGTTGGCTGCAAGAGCAGGTCCAACTATGTTTTATATATATATATACAATGCGTTTTATATATATATATATATATATATATATATATATATATATATATATATATATATATATATATATATATATATATATATATATATATATATATATATATATATATATATATATATATATATATATATATATATATATATATATATATATATATATATATATATATATATATATATATATATATATATATATATACATATATATCAGGGATGCGAAGTCCAGAGTCGAAGTCCACGGAGTCCCTATTTTAGCCCGAAGTCTGGAGTCTCTGGAGTCTATAAATATTTTAGGACTCCGGGACTCTTTTTTTTTTTTTTTATAGTTATTAATAATAATAATAATATAAAATATTAATATGCTTAAGAAATACCTAAAGTCTTGTCACAAAACACTGTAAAAGAGCATTTGACCGGAAAGCTTATCTCCTTCCTTACCAATTCGAACCAATACTCAGATTGAGTATCGGTTTGAATGTTACGCCTTGTTAAGAGGTGTTACCAAGCTCGCATTTTATGTGCGAAAAGGCCATGTGCCTACGCGTTCAGCAGTTTAACGTTAAGAGAAAACTTTCATCTTTTAGAATATTTAATTTTTATTTTGATATCGTTGATGTGATGTTTATTCAGAAAATATAATGTTGTAAGTAAAAGCATTTGACCACAATTATGGTCTAATAGTTTTTTTGTTAAAGAAACTGTTTAATAAATTATTTTTTTGTTAAAATTAATTAAAAAAAATAAAGTGTTTTAACTTTAAAAATTTCATCATATTTAATGCTAAGTTTTATATTAAGTTAATAAACTTTTATTCGCAAATTATGTTCATTTAATGTCTAACAATTTTTGTTTATTTATTTATTGTTTTAAAACAATTAATTTTTTTATCCCATTAAGAAAGTACTTATGATTAACTGTTCATTTAAGTATTTCCTCATCATTAAATTTGAGACCCAGGGGCGATTTTCCTAAAAAGAGAGGAAGTTAACATTTAACTTACACTTAAATATTTTTTATAAGACATTTGTCACTTTTGAAGGATTCATCCTTTTCATTTTATTCACAAAACCACTGCAGGTCTAGCCACTGGCTAGACCTGCAGATAAGCATATGTTTGAAAGCTCAGTTGTTTAACTTTTTGTTAATATTTATCAAATTTAGAAGTAAATTATATTTTAGTGTTGAAGTTGCTTTTATGCATAAGTTTTTTTGTTATTTTTAATTTTTTAGATTGATCATAGAAAGAAGGTCGATTAGAAATGATTAACTAGACAAATATTTTACTAAAGTCAAGTTCTTTACAAAAAATTGTTGATATATTTTTTGCTTTGTTTAAGCACTGTTTAAACTATAGTAGGAAACTATACTTATAAATAAATGAAGCTTGTAAATACTATTAGAAAAAAAATATCTTTTTATTTCTTTTAATTTCAAGCGTGACTCTGTCTAAGAAAATAAAAAGTCTACTCTGTTTAGAAAATAAAAAATTTTATTTTAATAACGCCTAATGAAAAATTGTAATGAAAGCAATATGGTTTAGATACAAAAAGCTATCAAATTTCACTAGCAAATTAATTATATGCAATAAAAAAACAAATTTGTCTGTGAGTTTGCGCTATAAATTCAAGCTTAAAAAACGTACCATCTAGGTCAGAAAGAAGCCAAAAAAAGCTTATAAAAATACCTCAACAAAAAAATAATAATTATTTTGCGCAGCAATTTCTTTTACAGAAAAACTACTAACGCCATCAATTCATAACTAGTCATTATAACAGCTTTCCTAACTATGTTTTCGTGGGTTGTTTTACAAAAAATTAATTTTGCAAAGCATATATAACACAAAGAAAATACTTTACATGTTCACAATAACTTGCAACAACAACATTCTTTCTTTATAATAATATTTGCTATTAACTCGCGTGTAACAATCTTGACCAGTAATGGCCACTAACTATGCATCAGATACGATCTACAGACACTTTCATTGTACAAATAAAATTTTGAATGGATGCAAAGTAGTATGCTTCAAATGTCTGTACCCGAAAAAAGTAAAAGTAACGAGTTATGCAGTAAAGAAATTATATGTGCCGGAAAAGCTCGCATTGGCAACCTTATAAGACACTTATTTAGAAAACATGCGGAGCTCCTCATTACGTTAGAAAAAGAAAAATTAGAAAAAAAAAAAGAAGAAAAGAATAAATTAGAAGAATTTTAAATTATGTGATTAAAGTTTGTATTTCCCATAAAATCATTTAAAAAATAAACTATTTTGATAAAATCTTTTGTATACTGTAAGATATATTCACTAAACTTTAAATTAACTATTGAAATCATGTTTAATATCTTTAGGTGAATATAAAGTTGGTGCGCGACTTTGGCATCAGCGCCGTTGAGGAAATTGTAGATGACGAAGACAATTTTTCATTAGAAACTGATGAATTTGACGAAGATGGTTATTCTAAAGCAGACAATGCGGCAGCAGTCTAAGCAAGTGGAGTTGCCAGTAGCATGAGTGTTATACATCTTCAAAGATGTGTTGTCCACACTTTACAGCTAGCCGTAAATGATGCACTGAAAAAGCCGACAATAAAAAATCTAATTAACAATGCCAGGGACCAGACTCCACATCTTATTCCAATTTTAGATCAGGCTACCCGTTGGTCTAGCCAGTTCAATATGATTGAGAAGCTAACTAAGGAAGGTTATAAGTTATAACTTCGAAGTTTTAATCAAAGTGTATAAACCAGTTTTCTAACCGGTATAATATAAATCCAATTATTTCAATGGTAATGACATTTATACTACTTAATATGTTTTAAATGTTAGTTTATGCAAATATTTCTTTAACAATCCTCTTTATTTAAGTAGTTAATAACTTTGTACATATATTTAATGAATTTTTCTGTTCTTCTAGATTCGACCAGTAATTCAAAATCTAAATATGCAAAAAGAGGCTCCTAAAGAATTTAATGTGCGACCATGTTTTTGGGGTATGTGGGAGGAATGAGAGATGTATTGCATATGACATGCAATCTTACTATTCGTCTTCAACGTGAAAATATTATTGCAGGCGAATTTCTTTTTGATTGGAATTCAATAAAGTGTGAACTTGATGGGAAGGACAGTGACATAGCTAAAGATTTCCAAAAAGGAATGAATAATAGAGAAAGCGCGCTACGCAAAAATCAGTTGTTTCTTGCAGCAGTTTAGAAAATACATTACAAACTGATTCAACTCGCTAATGAAAATAAGAATGAACTCAATAAAACCAAATAAACAGTAGAGCGCTACTCTTTTGCAGTTTATGCGTCAGACTCTAGTTAGAAAATGGGGAGAATGCTTCACCAGTTGCAAAGCATCGACCAAATTTATTTAAGTTGTGTGAACAGGAGGTTCAAGAAAATTCTTAAGAAGAACAAATGCAGGTTCAACTAGATGTAATCAAAAAGGAGTTTCGACTAGCTCTAAATACAATTCCAGAAATCCGTTTAATGTTTAAAGACAAATCATCCAACTTAAAGGAGTTTTTAAAACTTAACCCATTAAAATCAATTGAGCAGTTCTCTGAAGTTGTATGGGATGCCTGCCGTGTCGCTTTATCGCTACCCATATCCCAAGTCAGTGTCGAGCGTCTGTTTTCAGTCTTAAAGCACATGACACCAGACCATCGTAGTCAATTTACATCTGATTTAATTAATGATATGCTTTTTTTACGAACAAACAAGTTTTTTATTTGAACATTTTTTGATGATGTAAATATTGTAATATTTTGTCCTTGCAACTTTATAATTTAGCGTGTAATTAATGCAAATAAGCATTTAAATCTTTTTATAATTTTATGATCATGTGGTTTTAAATAATTTGAAAAATCTGTGCATGCGACAATAAAAATCAAATATAAATCTTTGGAGTTGTATTGTTCTTATAAATTCTTACAATCCAGCAAAAGCGGAACAAATTAACTTTTGAATTTAAGCAGCCGTGGCGCAGTGGTAGTGCACTTTCCTAAAAAAATAAAGGACCTGTGCTTCAAACCCACCTTTGGTTTTGCGACATCGGTCAGGAAGTAGGAGTGAATTTCGTAAGGATTTCTTAGGGTACATAAAATAAACATATATATAATTTATAAGAGAAAATATTATTGGTACCCTCTCATTTTTCCGGAATTTTTGCGTAAAAGTTCCAGATAATAAAAACCCCATATTTAAATGAAGAAAAAAAAAAATTATTTCGGGGTCCGGAGTCGATGGAGTCCATGATTTTTGAGCTCGGAGTCCGGAGTCCCAAAAAATCGATGGAACTTTGCATCCCTGATATATATAATATATATATATATATATATATATATATATATATATATATATATATATATATATATATATATATATATATATATATATATAAATTTAGTATAATTTTAACAAAACTTTTTAAAAAAGAAAAAAAATTACCTGCTTCTTTTAATGCAACAACACCACCATGAGAAGCTACAACAAAATTTACAAAAGAACTAAAAAGATATTTTTCTCTGTATGGTTCTTCTATAAAAAATATTGTACCCAAAGCACCACTTGATTCTAAGCAATTAAAACCCTTGGGAGTTATAGAAAAACTTAATAAACATTGTGCAAGTTTAAGTTCCTCTTTTGATAATTTTGTATATTTAACTATTGAATCTTTCTCATCAGAATGAGCTCGCCTCTTTAGAAAATTGTTATACAGCTCTACAAAAAATAAGGAATCAGATATACTAAAAATTCCATCTAAAGTGTTAAAAATTTTGGAGATTAGCTTAAGTAATAACATAAAAGCTTTACTATCTTGTGGCAATTTAAAATGATCATTTAAGGCAATTAACCTTGGAACAATTAGGTTATTCATTTTCAGAATAATTTTCCGACCAGAGTCACATTCAGCAATGACTATAATAATTTCAGCCAAGGCGCAAAAAAGATTTCTACTAATATCTGGTTTTGTATTTAAAATTGGTTCAAAAACCAACTCACAAACACCTTGATTACAAATAATTCTTCTACAAAAACTACTTTCATTGCAGGAGAGATTTTTAATCAAATTGACAAGCATATTAGAAGGATTAAAATCAGTTTCGATTGATACAGTTGCATTAGATACAATTTTAAGAACTTTAATAAATTTTTCAACAAGTTCGTTAATACTCACAACAAAACCATTATTTGATTCAAAATTAAACATTAGAGTACCTTCTTTGTAGAACAATAAATTGGTCATAATATGTACAATATGAATAAAGTATATATAATGAATGTCACCATTGTCATAGTTGATGTATTCTTCATTTTCTTGAAAAATGTCTTTTATATTATTGAAGTTTTTTGCAGTTATTAAAAAGTTTGATAAAATATTCTTTACAAATTTTATATTATTTCTAATTGAATTTAATAAATTTGACCGCCCATAAAAACTATGCATCCAGTTTTGATACCAGGTTGCTTGAGGATCTAATAATGAAAAAAAGTGCAACGGTGTCATTAAATATTTTCCAAATGTTTCAGTAATTGGGGTCGGAGTAATAGATAGTAACTCAACTAACATTTCTCCAATATTCTCAATAACAGTTTCAGAATATCGTAACCAATGAACAGGTAATTCTATTATTATTTGATTGAGCAATCTAAATTTTCGAAGAAGTAGAATGTTCCTTTTGTCTCCTAAGTCTAGCCCAGTTTCAATGGATATCATGTGAGATGTGTTGTCATTAAAATATTCTATTAGATTCTGTATTAAGATAAAAAGAAACTCATTTACAACACGGCTGCTACCAGAAAAAAATAACTTAGAAATTAATTTTAACACTTCAATTACAATATCTTCATTTTCATCACAAAGACCTGAAACAAGCCTTTCCTTTGTTAAACTCCAAGATTCACTAGATACAAGGTCAACTTGAGGAACCTGATTAAGTATGGTAAGTGCTTGTAAACGCATATTTAGAGAATTAGAAGGTTCAATCTCGTGTGAAAGTGCTTTATAATGTCTTGCAGACATAAACATATAATCACTACCATCGACAGTTGAACATACAGAGTCGTCACAATAAAAAATATTTTCACTAGATTTGTTACCATCAGAATTGTTAAAAAAAACAAATGTATCAGATTTAAAAATTTCTTTTAAATGTCTGGCTGCTTCAGAAACAGAATCAATTATATGCTGACTAACATTAGTAAACTTTTGAGAATTCATAACAAATGTGTCAATTTGTGGAGATAATAAATCACTTTCAACTGTAATACTTTCTTCAATGCATTGGTCAATCATTGGAGAAAGTTCAATTTCGAGTTTATTTCTTATTTGCTGCACTAAACTATGTTGGTGAAAGGTTGAGTCAAACGATTCAAGATTTTTAAAAAAAGTAGGAATTGATTCAGCATCGAGATTTTTAACATTTATCATCATATCAGCTTCATCAAGAAATTCTTGCAAATTTAGAAACCATAGCTCCTCATTTTCATCATAACTATCTGTTTCATTTGCCATTTGCTATATATAAAAAAAGTATATGCTAAAAATTTGTACTATTTGATAAAAATGTATAATTTGGAACTATTTAGAATAGTTTCCCAAAGTTTCTAAAACCTTAGACAATTTTATAGACCAGAGTGAAGCTGGTCTTTAAATTATACATTGCACTTTAAAATACTAACCTGAGGGTGACTGCTGGTCAATAAAGACCAGCAACCAGCCTCAAGATAGTACTTTAAAGTGCAGTTATAGGATGAGTCTGATGTAGATGAAGTATGGGATAAACGTTTTAGTGAGATAACAGCTTGACCCAAACCACCCAAGAAAAAACAAGGAGAAAACAAGCACATGTTAGGGGCAAAGACAATTGAAGATAAGTGATTAGAATTTTCTGAAACAAGTAACAAAGTTACTAAAAGTTATTATACGACTAAGACAAAAACTTTGAGCTTTAGTGCTAGCAGGGTCAGTGGTATTAGAAATATGCCATTTAGTGTGATGAGCCTTAAAGTCACCAATAAATTGGCTAAAGCATAAAGAGAAAGATTAATTTGATCAGAAATAAATAAAGGAGAAGGATTTAATTTTGATTTTATATCAAGTAATAAAGTTGATATGTAAGTATATGCCAAAACTAAACATGTGACTACTGGACTCAACGCAAATCAAAGGATAGTATCCATCAACACTAAGATTTAAAGTTAAAACAGTTAAATTTAAATAAGTATCACAAAGAATTTACTTGCTTAATTTTACAATATCTGGTAAACTTTGCAGGAGGTAATATTTAACAGATGCAAGGTTATTTTGAAAACAACAAATAGCTGTAAAAGATATTTTGAAATAATTTACTGGTAGGGATAAAAACTAATATTTTACACCTGCTGGTGGAAGAAACCTCTTTGAGAGCTGTCACAAAGTTTGGATAGCCTAACTACCAGGTAGTCTCAGAACCAATAAATTGAGTTATAAAAATGTACCCTAATTAGGTCTTAATTTAAGGGATAATAGAAAAGTTTGCATAGCCATTGTTAAGGAGCCACAAGTGAAAGTCAATGACTAAATTAAAAAGATCCAACATTCACCATCCTAGACAAAAAAAAAATGCAACACAAGTTTACATCTACACCAGCCAATTGACAATGGGCTGCAAGGTTGGTTAACAAAAATTATCTGCTTAACCCTAACATTTTTCACAAGAAGACCTTCTACAAGAACTAGCGAGATGCAGTTAAAACATGCCCTGATAAGATTACTGAAACATATTACTGAAACAAATTACTGCAACATTTTAAATCTAAAGTTTAAGTCTTAAGTATTAAGTATTATTGGCGAGTTTTTTTTATATTGTTAATTTGAATTGAAAACCGGTGTATATATAAGTACGTATAAAAAAGATAAAATAATCAGGTTACAGATCTCACTTATGTAGAAAGAAACCAGAAATTTATTAAGTAATTTGTTTTTGTTAACAAAAACAAATTACTCAATAAATTTTACTGCATATAACATGTTATATGCAGTAAAACTACATGTAACATAAATACGTAATACATAAAATAAATCTGTATCAATTTCAAAAATAATGTTCAAGCATATTATTACGTAGAACAACGTTAGTTTAGATTAACATAACTAAAGATATGTCTAAAAAATGTAAGCAACAAAACTTTCTTACCGACCAATACGTACTTATTGACAACGATAGATAATTTTTTTTTTTTTTTTTTTTTTTTTTTTTTGATAAATTGAATCTGTGAAAATGCGCAACAACAAAAAATTTAAATTATTTAAAAGAAAATGTTTTATTTAAAGCTTACAATTTTAAAGCCTTTGTTTTTACAGCTAATAAGTTTAAGTTCTATAAATGTTCCATAAAAATTGATTCTGATCAGTTCACTTTATTATTTTAGCAGAATTCAATTTTAATGTCAAGTAGTTTGACAAAAAATCACCCTTTTTTTTCCACTAGAATGATATGTACGAGGTATATTTATGTAGAAATTATTGCTGACAGGACTTGTAGAGGATTGCAAAATCTTAGCACAAAGCCCATTGTAATTTATATCACGAAAAGAAAAAGAATTACAAACATTTAAAAATTAGCTTCATTAAAATACTCTAAAATATACCCATACTATACGCGTTACGATACTCTTCATATACGAAACCGACTTTAATATTTTGCTTTTATAATATTGATATATATTATCTCTTATATTAGATAATATTGTAATATAAGATATGAGATATATAATAATTGTATTATATTATATATATATATATATATATATATATATATATATATATATATATATATATATATATATATATATATATATATATATATATATTTTATTATAATCATAAATTATATAATTATAGTTAAATTTAATTATATATATATATATATGTATATATATATATATATATATATATATATATATATATATATATATATATATATATATATATATATATATATATATATATATATATGTATATATTATTTTATAATTCATAATTATATTATATATAATAATAAAAAACAAGATATATAATAGTTATTATTACAAAATATATAATATTCTTTTTATTTTATATAATAAACAAAGTAAAATATAAATCAAAGCAATTAAAATGCTAATAATAGATAAATATGTTTTGTGTTGAAAGAAATAGATAAATATATTTTGTGTTGGAAAGGTAATTTCTTTTATTTTCCGTTTAAAAGAAACATTTTACTGTTTGTTAGACCGTTTTAAAGAAAAATCAAAATTAGTTAAAACTATTTTATTCCAATAAAAGTACCACGATAAGTAGAGGTATACCTATTAATTTGATCCCCCCCTCCTTCCCTGCAACAATGTGACTCTAAAAATTTATATTACATTTAAAAAGAAAATATGCAATATTTGCATCAACCCATTAATCACGGGAAGTAAAATGACGTCTTTTAAAAATTTTGGACATCTTTTGAACGTTTAAAAGACATCTTTTTTAGGTCCCGTGCCCACTGGGTAGTTAATAAAACACGATTAAGTATATAAATAATATTTATTTTAGAAATTAGAGAAGTACCCTAGAATCTCTGCTCCAAATAATTATAAAAAAGAACAAACATTGAAATTAAGTTTGAGGGATGCATTCTTAATATCAAAAACTAACTTTGCCTCACTTATGACTATGACAGAATTTTTAAATTCATAACAACTTCTCTCTCTTCAGACCTAGTAGTTCTTAGAATGCTATCAAGTATAAAAAAAAATTTAAGAATATTTTAAGAAATCTTTTATTTATTTAGCTACCTTAGATATGAATTCTTATACTTATAAATAAGCCTTCTTATACTCAAATTACACAATTACTGTATCTAATTTTATTGTTTGTGCTTTTTCGTTCTTTATTGTCAAAATTTCACAATTTTCGAAACGTTTTTGCTATTTCTTAATATGTTTTGATTAACTTTAAATTTGCTGAAATATCTTTCTGCTATGGAAACTGTCACAGATAGCACAAGGCTTCTGAAAAAAGTCATAAATAACTTATCATCAGAAACTTTAACAAGTTTAAAATTTTTTTACATCAAGGCAAAAATAAAAATAAAAAGAAAGGCATCAAGGCAAAAATAAAAATAAAGAGTGGTGTCGTAGTTCCTGTCTGGTATAGTCTTTCGTTCTGTGTTCAACATTTTTTTTTTGTTTTTTTTTTTATGTTTTTTTTTTAGTTTATTTCGCCTTTCACTATAAATACAGTTTTCATATACATACGTTTACAATAAAATAAATAGCTGGAGCAAGAAAAAGACATAATTTCTTATCACCAAGCACCATTTTTTTATAAAATCGTAATTTACAAATATTTTGTTGTAAAGAAGTAAACATATAGACTAGAAGATAATATTTCGTATTTTTAATATAAGTTTTAATACATAAAGTAGCAAACAGTAACTGCTAAACTGCTTATAATTTCAACAGTGGCAAAAAAACAAACAAATAAATATATTGCACACATACACATTGCATTCTGAGAGAGGTAATATCATTCTAAGAGAGAGGTAATATCATTAATAAACTTTGTTAAATGGATTTTGATAATAAATTTTTTTTTTTATTTAACCTTAATTTGTATATTTGAGTTTAACTTTATTTAAAAGAAACATTTAAATCAAGCATAGTGTGATCCATAAATAAGAAATACTGTTTAGATTCTTTTTTAAATAGATCTAGAGAGGTTATCTTTTTATTTGCTGAGAATGTCTGAGAAGATTTTCCATAGGTATGGTCCACGATACTTAATTGAGTATGAGCTCAATTTCAAGCTGTATTTTGGAACAACAAAGTTTTTTTTTTTTGAGAATCTTGTAGTGTATTTATGACAGATTTCACTAAAGTAGGATTCAAATATTATTGAAGACAATCCTAACTTAGTTCTATACATAAAGACTAAAATTTGATTTAAACTGATTTATATATATTTAATGCTCCAATTAAACACAGGAGAGGTTTGCAAGGTTCTTCTTGCTTAGCACCAAATACATGTTTTTGTTTACAGTAAAGCTTTTTTAGTTTTGCATGATTAGTACGTGCCCAAGCGATGTTACAGTGTGCTAAGTAACTATGAATAAAAGCAAAGTATAAACCTTTTGGTGATTTAAAATGAAGAACTGGATTAGCTCTTTATAACATTCCAACAGTTTTTGAAATTTTTTTTTTCTAGACTGTTTATATTGAAAATTCCATCGTAAATTTTCATCCTACTTAACACCTAAAAAAGTTTACAAAAGATTCCCTTTTAGTTTTTGTTTATGATAAGCTTTGGTAATTTCAATGAGATTTTTTAAAATTTGTTTGATTTATGCAATAGTATAAATTTAGATTTATCATTTTTCAGAGAAAGTTTGTTACTTAAAAACCACTCTTTAACTTTTTCTAATTGTTCATTAACTTGTTTAAAAAGTAATTTTATATCTTTGTGTAAATAAAAAAGATTGGAATTATCAGAAAATAGATTTATAAATTTAATGATAAATGTAAATCATTTATGTACAGTAGAAACAAAAATGACCCTAAAATAGAACCCTGAGGAACCCCAAAAGTTATTGAATGTTTACCTGTTACTTTTGAATCATAGCATTTGAATTGTTTTCTGTTTGTTAGGTAGTTTTTGAACTAAAGTAAGTTTTTGTTTCTAATGCCATAGTTTTCAAGTTTAATTAGCAGCATGGTTTACATTCAACAACGTAAGTAAATAAATCATCATTAATTATGCTTCTCATATCATTATATAATGTTATAAGCGTCAGGAATTGTTGAACATGCACAACGTTGTGCATGTTCAACAATTCCTGACGCTTTCCAGTTCGCTTTAATCACGTTTTTTTGATGTTCAGCTCATCGTATTTTTATCTTTTTTCTGGTTTCACTCACATACATAAGCGCCACATGTACATAAGTTGGTAAACACCCGGGTAACTGTTTGGTGGTAGCTATGATTTATTTTGGCATAATATGTTCAATAAAGATCTTCCAAAATGAAAACCTTTTTTTATCCCAACTTTTCAAAACTCACTACTAAGAATAAGGCCTATTTAGGAACCCACGGAAGTATTATGGTATTATTTGTGTTTAATTGTTAGCGGTTTTTTGGTTGGGATGGTTTGTAATGTTTTACAATGTCTAGAAATTGTTGCCGAGAATATCTATTTTCCATAAAAATATTAATTAGGAAATCAATATCTTATTATAAATAATTACTAGTGCATAATTTATAAGCTCTTGCAAGAAAACTTTAAAATATCCCTATTGCAATATATGGTGATATACACGATTGCGGTTTTACAAGTACATTCATTATTGCATTCTTGAGGTATGTAGAAAATTTATATTTGTGAGTTATATAATTAGTTAAAATGCAGACATCTAAAAAATTAAATTGATTTTGATTATTTTGGTATTCTCATGTGTATTTAATAGCTTTGTCTTGAGAATTTAAAAGTGTCAAAAATAATTCTGCTTTATCAGAGTTAGAAAAACGTGCATGCCAGTCATCAAGATATTGTTTAAATGTTATTGGTGCGACATTAATGGTTAATGCTTGTTGAATTGCGTTATATTCAATATATTGTAAGTAAGCTTTTGTAATTACTACCATAATGGATAATCTAATCGTACCAGAGTTTTTTAAGATATAAATTTTATTATCCCATTGAAAATAGCTTTTACTTAGACAAAGTTCAATTAATTTATGAATGTCAGTTAAAGATAAATTAGTATGCAGTTGAAGATCATTTTTTTTCATGAATTATCAATAACAGCTAAAATTGCTTTATCGATTGGTACTGACGGATACAAATTTACTTCGTCAAATGATACCTGAACCTCATTTTCTTCAGTTGTCCATTCTTTTGCTTCCAATACAAAGGATGATGAATTTTTTACTCTGCGTTGGTTTTTGTTAAGCGTAGGTTGTATAAGCTGAACAAGATGCTGCGATAATTTATGTGTGTGTTTGGGGGGGGGGGGTGTACCAACAGTTGAGACTATAGTTCGCTTTAGATTATCTTGATCACTTTTATGAGCTTTTATGAGCTCACATCAATAATACAGCCGTATAATTGAGGTGGTATAACATCAGAAGGTTAAATACTGTTTTCTATTTTTTGTTTTTTTTAGTTTACTTAGTGTTCGTTGACAAAGAAACTGATTAGTGGGATCAATATTGGATATTGTACATTTGCCAAGTTGTTCTTGAATTTTACCTATAGCTGAATATGAGTCTAAAAACGACATATCCGTTACCATAATGGTAACGGATTTGCCGTTTTTAGATTCACATTCTTGTCGTTTTTAGACTCATATTTTTATATCACAATTGGTATAAAAATATACCCAAATAGGTATATTTTTATATCAATTGAACCCTTGAGCTCATTAACTGCACATTAGGGCTTTGCTAATGAAATTCTCCATTTAATAGCAGCAGCGGTTCTTTAAATGCTCTTTTATATGATGCAACTGTAGTAAATACTGGAAAATTTGGAGGGGTGATAAAACTAATTGAAACAGAACTCGAAAGACCTATGCAGTGGCTCGTTTGTCAACTACATTTAAATGAACTTTCCTTTAAACATATATTTGAGTTGATTGATGGGGAAACTTCTGGTCCTGAATCATTTAAAGGTGAAATTGGTTAAAAAACAAACAGAGGACTTAACTAATTTAGCAGTAGTTTCTTTCAAAAAAATCAATGGTTCTTTTCTTTTAAAGCTTATATCCCTTATTTAACACCTTGTATCCATTATTCTAATAAAATACCTAAACAGTATTTTAGTAGAACATTTTTGTAGTATACCTAAATCATTACAACTAATTGTAATGATTTAGGTATTAAAAATAATTATATATAAAAGTTGCTTATACCTCCTTTTTTCCTAAAACGCCAAAAAAATCCGATTTTGTGTGCGACCCCTACGGAGGCTAGTACAGAACTCAAAATTGGTATAAATCCTTTACACATATATAGGAACCCCCAACAATATGCTGCTTCTTAAAAAAATTTTTTGACCCGCCCTACTACTCATCTTTGGTTTTTAAATATATTACTTTTAATTTAAAATTTAAAAATTTAGTTAACGTCTTGCTTATATTCTGTCTTAATAACTCAGCTGCTTCCACATTAATTTTTTTCTCTAATTTTAGAGCACATTCTTCCGTTGACTTACTAAATAAATAAATGGAATTCTACTTTGCGTTGGAATAAGATTTAATAATTTTTCTTGTTCAACAAGCTTTTTTGATGTATTGATATTATTAATAGTAAAATGATTTTTTTATCTACCTTTTTTAGTATTAATAAGAAAGTCAAACTTACGTAACGTTTTAACTTTTTTCAATTCATTTTCTTATGATTTTTTGGTTGTGCGCTCAATAATAATTATATCTTGAGGTTTCACAGTCATTTTAATTGATTTTAATAGTTCTCTACTTTTGTAAAATTACTCTACTTTTATAAAACTTTGTTTGATTACTTCTCTACTTTTGTAAAACTTTCTTTTTGCTTCGTTTTTTGCGACAAAAAGTAATTTTTTTCTATATTCAACAATAAGATTGTAGCCGGTTTTAGTTTTTATTGGACTATGTTGAAAGATTTAGACATTTATTGTATTTATATATTTTATATTTACATTTATATTTGATTTATATTTATATTGATATTTTTGATTTATATTTATATTGATAACTTTGATTTATATTTATATTGATAATAATATATTTATTTTTGATTTATATTTATATAGATAGTGTTTATATATTTTTTTTATACATATATTGTATTTATATATTTACGCTTTTATAGATCTGACGATAAGATCTGACTTTTTTATTGTAAATAACATTTAGGAGATTTCTTGAGATTTAGATTTTGAATAACAACACCATTTTTCAAGTCATTGTTTTAGGTTCAAGAAAAGCAATTGTATTTTTTTCTCAGAAATAAAAAAATATAAAATAATAACTACAGCATTAAGTTTATGAAATGCATTTATACGAAACAATCTAGTTAAACAAAAATCGTATTAAACGAAACAATCGTATTATTATTAGTTAAAACTAGACACTAGATAATAGGTGTCATGTAAGTCGATACCAAATAGGATGGCCTCTTATCGTGTGGTATCGTATATAATAATGTGGGCACCATCAGTTTCAGTTCAATACCACACAATACCGATTATAAAAAGAATCCCATTGTATTGAATATAGTCACGATAAGGAAAAAAAAAATTGGACATCTCAAAAACTCTAATTAGGAAAGGTCTTTATTTGACGTTATCTAATATAAACAATGAGATTTTTCCTCCTCTATTTAGCAAATATTGCTTTGTCTTCCTGCGTGTGATAAAAATCACATTTTTTAAAAGAACCCCAAAAAAAGATTTTTCGAGAGGCGAAGTAAGACAAAGAAAATAAACTTATCTTCTATTTCTCCCATACCCCTTTTGTGTAAATATTTTATGAAAATCTCTTTAATATTGCACTTGCCTCAGAAACAAAGGATCCGTGGTTCAAGCACTCTCGCGGAAAGTGTGGAGTTTTCCTCCACACCGGTGTGTAGCTATCACTCCTAGACACAAGTACTTGTGTCTAGGAGTGATAGCTACACACCGGTGTACACACATCTACAAAAAGATACAAAATAACTCTACACTTAAGTGTAGAGTTATTTTGCACCTTTTTGTTAAAATTAACTTTTTCTAACTCGATTTCTGCACAGAATATATCACTATCACTCCGAGACACAAGTGTGGAGTTATTTGCACAAAATTGTGTAAAATAACTCCGCGCTTGTGTCTAGGAGTTATAGCTACACACCGGTGTGGAGGAAAACTCCACACTTTCCACGAGTGTGAATCCCACTAAAATAATGCTTTATATATTAAAACTCGTTTGGTGAAGTTATATAAAAAATGTTGAAAATGATGTTAAAATTATTCTACAAATATTTATGAATGTCTCACTTTTCCCCACTCTCCCCTTCATCTAAGTTGTTATCTAAATATACTATTTAAAACTACTAATTGTTTATAAAAACAAAATACAAGTTTTTGTGAAGACCCAAGCTGCGATACCAAATAATACTATTGATACCAAACGGTATAAACATAACAGATACTTTGGATAACAGTATCAAGTGATCTCAATATCGATATTGTAAGCTATTGCACCGATACCAGACAATAAATCGAGAATAGATACCGATTATCTAGTGTCTATTAATAACCTTATTGTTGTTTTTTAAGTAAATTAATAACCTTAATTTTTTTTTTTTTTTGATGATTTGTAGAGGTTCCGGTAGGACCTAATACTTTTGAAGGGTTCTTTTATAAGTCAATTTATTTTTCTAAACTGTGTCACCCTGGGACTCAAAAGAAGTCATCCTTTGAGTCACCCTGGGACTCAAAAGAAGTCACCGTTTAAGTCACCCTTGGACTCAAAAGAAGCGGAATGCTTGTAACTAAATGAAAATTTTTTGTTTAAAAAGAAAATAGAGAAAATATACCTAAATCAAAACTTTCAACAGAATTTTGTTATTAGTTTTAAACTAAAAGAAAAATTCTGTGGAAAACGGGGGTTTATAAAAGTAATTAAATGCTTTATATCTTCAAATCCAAAAGATTTTTTTTTTACTTTACTGTTATAACTCAGGAATATTTAACTTTTAACGTAATATGCATTTAATATAAATTACTTTTAAGAAGATTTTATTTTATTTTTTAGGAGGATGTCTTCTATAAAATCTATTGATTTATACAACTATTTAGTGATAAAAAACGTAAACACGATTGATACTTATCGAATACTTTTTAAATAGAACACCTGTTTTTTATCAGATGTTTTATACTTTTTCTAAAACGTTAGTTATATCAACAAAATAATATTTTAATTTTATTAAATAAAAACAACAGAAACGAAATATTTTAATGGAACGAAGTACAAAAGTTTAATCACAAGAAACAGAATGCAATATTATACAAAATATTTGAACATTTTATTTCGTTCCATTAAAATATTTCCTTTCTAAAATTTTATTTTAAAATTTTTTTTTGCAATCCGCGTTTTTATTTTGAAAGCAAGTAAAGCAAATTTTGCTTTTAAATAAAGAACTTTGGCAGGGCCGACGACACCGGGGGGCCAGGGAGGCACTTTCCCTCCCCCTCCCCCCCCCCCCCCCCACTTTTTTCTAAAGGACCTTTTTCTTTTTTTTTTTTTTTTTAAGAAAATTCTAGGTATAGAGAACTTTTTTTAAAAATTGACGATTGCGCCCCCCCCCTCCTCCACTTCGAAACCCGTGTCGTCGGCCCTGTTTGGAGTTTTTAAGACATTAGTAAATAATTATAAAGATTCGGAATTTTAATTATAAACAAAAATTATGTTTAAAAGGTAGTTCTACAGTTAAGTGGCCTAAAATAATTTTATACTTTTGCTTGTTGCGCTCTTGTGTGGTGAATTTTTAATATAAACATAAGGAATATTTATTGGCTTCAGTGTATACATCGACTATCTTATAGCCTGCTGCTACAAAGGAGTGCTGCTACATCGACTATCTTATAGCCTGCTGCTACAAGGAAGTGCTGCTAAATCAATTGAGGGTTTGGCATGGAGCAGCAATATTTTTTCTTTTATTGTTTCACTTAATATTCCTAATGCTTAAAAAGCCTCCTTTGAGGAAAGCGCAACAACAACAAAAAAATGAAATTATTTTAGGCCGATAACGGTAGAATAACATTTTAAAAATAAAAGCAAAAAGTTTAATGTACATTTTAACAACAGAACCAAGAGATGATGTTGTTTACAACACAATAAAAATTGATATAAATAAAAGAGAACTTACTTGATTTTAATCGCAGATGGCTATCTTTGTTGCATTGAGTATTTACAATGAATAATGTTTTTTGTACCCCCTTATTTTTAAATGTGGCTCTAATAATATAATTTATTCAATGTTGCAAAATGAAAATAAATAAATATCGAAAGAATAAAATGGGAAAAAAAAAAAGATAATAAAAACAGATGTTTATTAAGTCACTGGGGTGCTTTAGTAAAAAGAATAAAAACGTAAAGAATTCAAAAACATTTGTCTTATCAAAACTTTTATATCCAATTATCTTATAACAATGAGAGAGAAAGAGGAAAATGTAGAACTTTTTATGTTTATTGCAAAGATACAAACCTATGGAAACCATGAAAGAAAAATTCCTTTTTAAACCCTACAATGTAAGGAGGTATATTTTTATTCTCAGTTAAAATTCATAAATTAAAAATACTTTTCAATGTAAATATGTTTTTAGACATAGTTATTATTATTTATATTATATGTTCTTTGATGAAGTGTTACTTCAAAGCATATTTGTACCTGTTAAAATTGACTATTTGCATTTTTCAATCAAGATCGTATTGATCAACACTGGTATACTAGCAAAAAAATTTATCGTAACGTTAATGCACAAAACTAATGATGGTACACCGCAAACTAAGGCTATTAGCGATAGTGCATGACTACCTTACACAATTTATAATTTTTCACAACAAGAAAAAGTCCTATATCAAGTACCTTGCGCACATTTTTTTTTACTCCAAAATGATTTGCATTTGTGGGCATTTTTTCGCTGTTTACTATTCGAAAAAATAAATCAGGTGCTTTTGCAAAGCTATTGCAATAAGGATAGCGTTTAAATGACAGATTTGGCATTTAAACTATTAACAGAGTTGGATTAAGTACATTAGTGTTATCTGGGTAATTCAGGATGTTCTTGTAATTTATTATTTCTATTGTTGATCGACTAACCTTTAAATTTTAGCGAAATCAAATTAAAGTTAGACACTAACAATAATCAAAACCAGATCTTATTTTTATTTTTTCACTCAGTAAGATTGAAACCCTAAGGGAGTTAATCATATTTTTTTTGATTAGCGATTTAGAAATTATTAATTTGTATTATAGTTAAGACTTATATATCAGTGGTCACCAAGAAAAAATAAAATTGCGAAGTATTATATCATTGCATAATAGAATTCCTCTTGATGAATTTGTTTTAGTTTTCTTGCAAGTGTTCCGGTACTTGCATCACAAATTAGTTATTTCCAGTACAGTAACATTTTTTGGTAGAAAAGACCCGACTCACTGGTCAACAAGGTCTACATTTGCCGACTCACTTCTTTAAAAGGTCTACATTTGCCGACTAATTTAACTAAAAGAGTCAAATTTGCTGACTAAATGAACAAAAAATTTATTGATGGGAGAGAGAGGTGTCATTCCCCCTCCCTTTTTGCCGGCCTTGCACAGAGTTTAATGCTTTATATCTTTTTGAGTTTCACTCTGCTTAAATCTATATTTGGATTTTTTTTTCTTTCTGATTGTTAAATTGCTTTTAGAAGACTTTATTGGTTCGTCAAAAAGCATTCGGTAAAGTATTCAATGAGGAAATTTCCGTTGTCTTTCTCACAGTGTTACTTTTATGACCGGAGCAGGTATAAGTTAGCGTTGTAACCAGTGCGCTACGACTGATTAGATTCTTTACGACTTGCGACTTACTTACGACTTTACGACTTTACAACTTTACGACTTTACGACTTTTCAACTTTACGCCTTTACAAACTTTACAACTTTGCAACTTTGTGACTATGCGACTTAGGATTTCCAACTTACAACTTACGATTTCTGACTTACAACTTACAACTTACAACTGATTAGATTCTAACCAGTGTGCTACAAAAGATTAGATTAGATAAAAACCTCGGATATTAAAATTATTAAGTAAGCGTTCTAACCAGTGCGCTACAACTACTGCTGATTCCTCGCGACTTATTGAATACTAATTCTTTTGTTATACCAACAAAAACACTGTTTTATTAACTTGGTTTATTAACACATTTAATAATTTTGTGATTATGTTAGTTTTATACTAAACTTGTGTTATCTTGTTATTTATTTTTGTAATTAGAGAGTATTATTTTCGAGTTTATCAAAACAAGATCGCAAGCTTTGGCTTTTAAAACAGTTTTCACTATTTGAGCGAGAAATTCAAAATTTCATTAAAGAAAAAAATGGGTTGGTTGAACAACTCTATAAAAGATTAAAAAAAGTTACACAACGATGGGCTTTTTGGAATCACAAAAACTTTGGACCAGTAGTTTCGAGAGAGTAATATTTTAATTTTTTTTATTTCTCTCAATTATCTTTATATTAGTCTTAAATTATGAACTTTAAATTACAAATTTTTAATATACTTTTTAAAAAATACATTAAATTTATTGATTGAAAATTATTGTTTTTGTTTTTTTGAAAATTGTTTTTTCTTTCGTCAGAAACTACTTTTCTTTAAGTTTAGTAATTGAAAAATGATTTCATTATTTTCATTTTTTTGTTAAAATTTTCAAAATTATGTTGCTTTTTTTACAAACTATGGCAACAGACAAGTACGCCATCTACGCTCTTGGGATATACAAAACCAACCTAAATTAGAACATAAGGATAATATAATGGACGCGTTGGAAAGGTTTGAGTGCTATTGCAAAAAGTCTTTCCTTCTTTTAAGAGGCTTTCGTGAACATATTTATACTCCACTATGTGAATATCTCTCTGTAGAAAATGAATCAATTGATGCCGATGAAAACTTTAAGTCTCTTGATAAGTGTCTAGCTAGATGGGAATACTTACTTCAAAACAACAATTTCAACAAAAAAGCACTCACTAAACAAAGTTTGAAATTTCTTAATGTCAACTTACCTATGAGAAAAACTGAAAACGATTTAGTATTAAGACTAATTCCAGATTTAATTGAATCAAAGTTACAAGTGCTGAATGGTGCGCATAGATCATTAGGAGACAAAACAACAAACTTTGATAGAAGTGTCACTTACATACTTCCGCCGTTGTTACAAAAAGAAACTGCTGATGCTGTGTCTATTGACCCATATAAATACCAACAAACTATCCAATTAATTCCACAGTACAATGAAAACTGCTGTAATCCATCAAATTTTCAACAGTTAACTGAGGAGTTAGATTACACTAGGCAACGTTGTGTAACGTTGGAAGCTGAAGTTGAATCTTTAAAGAGTGATTGTAAAAAATTAGAGGAACAACTCGAAAGTTCGCTAAATACAAACATATCATCAAAGTTCTGCAATACAAAAGTAGAAAATATCTTAGTATGCAAAGAGAATCAACCAAAGCAATTTAATCAATGTGATGATGAATCGCGTCGCATTGCAAATGAATTATATCGCGTCAAAGCTTCTTATAGCTCTCAGAAAATCAAGTACTTAAATGCAAAAAAAAAAATTAAAGTTTTAAACAAACAGCTGGACCTATTTAATTACCGCATATCAAATATGGTAAAAAATTATCAAGAAAGAAATTCCAACATTAATGCAGACTCGCATATACCTTTAAAAAAAAACAACAAGCAAGAACATAAAACTATTAATTTACAGAAGCAATGTTTACATTTTAAAAATGATCTTGATAAAATGATGGTACATAGCAATAAAAACTCTGCTACGTCTAACGGATTGGACGCAGCATTCCAAACAAGACATACACATAGTTCCCAGATAATAAAGGAGCAGTGTCAAACAATCAAAGGAGAAACGGTGCACATTAAAGAAAAAGTGGAGTACAAAGCCAATAATTCAACTCAGAATCGATCAAAAAACAACTTATTATATAAAGAAAATCCGAGTAAAAATAATAAAATAACAACTACTGATTCGACAAAGTTGAATGAAAGTAACGAATACGGTTCAAACAGTTTTAAAGAAAATATGTTCCCTAACATTAACCTTTCAAAAAAGATGTAACAAAAGTGTTATAGAAAAAGTATATATAAAACAATAAATAAAACTTTCACATTTATATATTATATATATACATATATATTGTTTAAAAGCTTGTTATATTTTAAAAAACAAATTTTAACAACGCTTTTACCCGCTGGGAAATAAGCTAGCGGCTAGATAGCTTTATAGCAATTTTTGAAGTGGTTTTTTTTTCGCTCATTATTGTTTTACTTTGTCTTAAACGTTTTTAAAAAGTTCGATAAACATATTTATAAATCTATGGGTAGTCGATAAAAACTTGTTGCGTGTATACACACCACAGCTTTTTAGCTTGCGCTACTATTAATAATTAAATCATATAGTTATATTATTATAGTTAGGAATAATACAAGACTGTCTGTAAAACAGAATCCAAATTTAACAGCTTTTCTAGCTAGCGATCATCGCGGATAAATTGCAATATTTATCGTAAAGAGTTGTCGCTAGAAGGTTGCTAGCTAATGTCGGTAGCGATCCTAATTGCCAAATCGGTGTCTTTATTACGAATATCGCAAGCTAGTCTCTGGCCAATTTCCCAATGAAAACATTCTTTATCGTCTTCTATTATTATCTTTACAAACCTTTTAGAATATTTATTATTTATTTAGTATTTAAATACAAGTAAATAATGTTTTCTACTTGCTTGGTTAATGAAATTCAGATTTTTTATTTTTATATCTTTTATGTTTTGTTTTTAAGGACTTCATGCTATAAGCCATGCAATAAGCTATGTATAACGTATAATATATGTTATTGATAACGTAACAAAACAGAATAATATTCTTCTTGTTTTTGCTACTTTATGTGGTATATTTAATGAATTTTATAAATAGGAAGAGTTATATTAACGTTGTATTATAATTTAGAATTATTATAAACCTAAATTATTGATCACACTAAAGTATATTATTGTAATAAAGTAAAACATTTTTAAAAAGGTATTTTTGTTCCAAATGCATAATCATAATTGAAAACATAAGCGGATGTAGGCGTTATGTTACTCCATTATGGAACTGAGATTTTTAGAGTTGATGTTTTGAAAACATTTTGTTTTATATAATTTTATATAGCATAAAGATATGTAAATATTTAGCAATAAATAAATCAAAATAGCATAATTTATAGATTAATGTATTAAAACCTTTTAGCACCTTTATCTTCCGTAATGCTTTGTTGAGTTGATGTGCAACGTAGCTTCCTCATCCACCGCGAAAATGATATTTGAGCTCACTTTTGTGTGGTGTTAATAAGTTCATGTGAAAGAAATTCATGTAAAGGAAAGAGCGTTACTTAAAACTTCTAATCTTAAGTTTTAAATCATTAGTATTTTTGTTAGAAGTTGTTTGTTTCAGATTTTTTACTATACTTGTCAGTTTATATATATATATATATATATATATATATATATATATATATATATATATATATATATATATATATATATATATATATATACACATTAGGTATACATTATATTTTATCTTAGGAAAGTCTTTGATCACCATATTTAATTAAAAAGTACTAGTAAATTACAAATACAAATATATTTTGGTTTATGAAAGTATAAAATAGTATGTTTCTTATGATGGTGGTAAAACTGAAATTAAGATAATCACTTGTAAAGTTCCTCAAGGATCCATATTAGAATCGCTTTTGTTTTTAATATACATTAACGATTTTAACAAAGCTTCGAAAATTTTAAACTCAATTTTATTTGCTGACAAAACTAAATTATTTTATTCCCATAATGATAAAAATACACTATTTAAAACAAAGAGACAAAATTCCTCTAAAGCTTCCAAATGTTGGCATTGGTAATCAAATTATAAAAGGAGAACACTCAATGAAATTTCTAAATGTTATTCTTGACGAAAATGTCACGTGGACGAGTCGTATAAATTTAATTGAAAATAAAATTTCCAAAAATATTGGCTTTATAAGACAAAATCTTACCTAAACCAAATTTGCTTAAAATATATCTATTTCATTTTTATTCATTTTTATCTCAATTATGCTAAAATTGCTTAGTGAAGCACTAATTTAAAAAAAAATGAAAAAACTATCCAACAAACAAAATCAAGCCATTAGAATAATATCTAACACAAACCTTTCCTCACATTCGCTTCCACTATTTATTAATCTAAAAATTCTGAATGTTTACCAAATAAATTTATATCACCATTTACTTTTTATGTAAAAAATTAATATCGAGACCTTGCCAAATAATTTCAAAAAGCTATTTTAAAAAATACAGCACAAATATATTACTAGATACAAATAATTATTACAGCTAAAATTCACTTTGAAGTCACAAAACTCACTTTGAAGTCACAAAATTCACTTTGAGACACAAAATTCACTTTGAAGTCACAGCTAGATAGTAGTAATAGTTTTCTATCACAGCTAGAATCCTCCAAATTTAGCGTATAATAATCTTAAAATGACATTAAAACGCAAAAATAAATAATTTCAAATCAAAACTAACAGAAAGAATTTTAAAATAATAAAAAAATGAAGAACTTCTTCTAGAGCTATATTTATTTAGTGTTCTTCAAAATTTTATAAAAAATTTTTTTATATGCAAAGAAATAAGTTCCTTAAAATATTCTGATTTTTTTTTTTTTAATTGTTTAATTATATATAAATATAAATTTTTCTTAACATTTTAAAATTCTTTATATTATATTTCATACTACCCTAGCGAGCATTTGTTTTTAAAAGTTACGTTCTAAATGTATTTTAAATGTCTTTTAAACGCCTTCTAAACATTCTCACGTAAAGAACGTTTAAAAGACGTTTAAAAAACGTTTAAAAGACATTTAGAACGTAACTTTTAAAAATAAATGCCCGTAGGGTACTATATTCTTATCGTAATAATTGAAAATTATTTTTATATAATTTTGAATTTTTTGCTTTATGTTCATTTATTATTGAAAATCATTTCTGGAGTTTATTACATTTATTTTTCCAATATGTTTGTATTATATTTGATGACATTTTTTATGACGTTTAATGAATTGTGAATATATTGTTTACGCATTATTAGGGGCTTTTTCTTGCCCCGTCTATTTGTATATTTTACAAATACAAAAATTATAATTATTTCTAACGACAATTTTAAGAGGAAAAAAAAAAAGTTCTTTATCTGCCTAAAAAAGTGGAAACTTGTATTTTTGCGACTTCACCTATTTATGTCTTCAATTCTTGTAATAACACAGCATGCATTGCTTATTGACTCTATTTCTATGTTTCTCTCTTTATCGAATGTATTGAATGTATTTCGATATTTATCAAAATTACGCAAAATTAGTGGTTATGCCCAAAATGGATTTGGTTTGAAAGAAAAACAATAATTTAAACAATTTTACTGATAGACCAAAGATTTACACTAATTGATTTTTATAAACCATACTTCTAAGTCAGATTAGAGTAATGACTATCACCTTTTCGGGAAACAGAAGACTACAATGTTTGTTGTAACAAAAGTATATTTGCTACAATATTCAAAAAAAAAATACGAGTCAACGTACAAAATTCAGTGCTCTTCTTCATCCCTCGACCAGTTAATGTTTACTAGGGCGAATCGCGCTCAGAGTTTTAAAGTTAAAATATATAAAAAATATATATTTTTTTAAATTTTTTATTTTACATTAATTGTTTATCTTTATACAATATAGTATAATATAAAATCAAATGCTGTTTTCTTGTTTTACCAAGAAAAATGATTCAAACGACAGTGGATGTTAGACTATAACAGTCGTTTTTCAATTTTAGTTCGTTTTAGTTTGTTTTTAAAATCATTTACAGAAGTAGCATTACTAACATCTTGATCTAGGATATTCCAAGCTTCTACAACACGGTTGGTTTCTGATCATGCCCTCTCGTAATACTAGTTATTCTTTCAGGTTCGTTATGCATTGTTTTGAAATCTATCAACCTTCTATCACCCAATTTTGAAAGATCCATATTATGTTACCTTTGTTCATAGTTAATACCTTTTAATAAAACAAATTTTAGATGCTCGTTTTTGGACTTTTTCTATAAGATTATTACTTTTAGCGTAGTATGGGTTCCATATTTTTTTTTTTTTTTTAGCGTAGTATGGGTTCCATATTTTTTTTTTTTTTTTTAGCGTAGTATGGGTTCCATATTTTTTTTTTTTTTAGCGAAGTATGGGTTCCATATTTTTTTTTTTTTTTTAGCGTAGTATGGGTTCCATATTTTTTTTTTTTTTTAGCGAAGTATGGGTTCCATATTTTTTTTTTTTTTTTAGCGTAGTATGGGTTCCATATTTTTTTTTAATATTTTCGTCATTAAAAAAATAATCTTTTACAAAGTTTTTACAACATAAAAATAAAACATTAAAGTTTCAACCGGAGCGAGCAGCTCCAGCTATCATCCTGTCTCATTAGTATAACTAAAAAATTCAGCCGATAAAAATGAAAAAGGAAAAAAGAAATTAAAGCGAGAACTGATTTAACAATCAATTTAACTATTTACAGGAAAAAAGAAAAAAAATTAGTTATTTCTTATTATTATTATCAATTTTTTAACTCTCTATTTTATTTTACATTTATTTTTATTATACACGCACGCACACACACATACGCACACACAAATATATGTCGGTTCATATATACATACAAAATCAAATAAATCTGTTTTATATTCCATCTACAAATTGCGTAAGAGATAATAAATATTGCATTTGCAAACTGCGTTATTATTGTAAAATAAAATTATATCATACGTGTTCTAAGTACCATACAATATAATTAAGATGTTGCGTCAATTTATAAGACATTAAATAACTAAGATTAACAAAAGTTTTTAATAATAAGATAGTAATTGCTTTATATCAAAATCAAAGAAGTGTTGTTTTGTTGCACGTTTAAAATGTTGAGTTGAAGTTAAAGTTTTTATATTACTTGTTAAAAGCAGGTTCCATAACCGCGGCCCTCGGCAAGATATCGAAAAATCAGCTTGTTTTGATAATGTTTTTGTATATTAAAGTTGAGCATTATTTATAATAAAATTGAGTATTATTTTCGTATTTGTGATTTGAAGGAAAAAAGGAAGTTTGGAAAATGCTTGGTAGGATACCATTTTAAAATTTTTTTGAAATGCACACTCAAAGTGAGGTGGCACGAGTGATATGTATAATAGTTTCATAGTATTTT